TTGATTGTCGTGGTGAAAAAGCAGAAGCAGTTGCAAAAGTAAATGCCGAAGTAGAATTAGAAAAGGTGAAACTTCTCCGTGAGTCAGATGAACGTAGATGCAAGATTGTGCAAGACATGATCCAAAGTGGCCAAGTTGATGATAATTTAAATAAAACGGTGCAATCACTACTTGCACCTCTTACCATTCAGTTCAGAGTCACTCCAGTTGATAGTAGTCTCGGGGCACCAGACCAAGTTGTTAGTTCCACCTCCTTGAATGAGCAGGAAACTAAAAGTGATGATGAGCCAAATATAGGTGATGAAAACATAGATGACTGAGAGGGCAAATCAGTTTTTGTGGCAAATTTAAACTAATAAAAATTATTATTTATAATTACTACTTCGTTTTTGTCATTTACTGTTGTGTATAAAGTTGAATAAATTATTTTTATGTTTAACTTCCACGCTTTTTTTGTGTAGCTCTATTTCTTTTTTAGCTTCTTTCTTAATCTTATCAATTTCGATGTGCATTTTATTCTTTAATTCGTTTTCTTTCATCATCCTATATACCTCTTTTTCTTCTTCTTCTAATTCTGCATCTGCCTCATGCACATACTCTGAAATATCATGATTCAGGAGTGGCTCATGCAGTTTCAGTCTCACTGCCTTCAATGCTTTTGCCATCAAAGGGTAGGTATTCAGTTTCAGTCTCACTGCCCTCATGTGGATTCACAATATCCATTTCATTTGGCAGCTTATCTTGTTCTTCAATATGGCTTTTGCCTTTAAAGGGTGCCGGCTGTTCAGTTTCATTCTCACTGCCCTCACATAGACTCGGTGGATTCACAATATCCATTTCATTTGTCAGCTTATCTTGTTCTTCAATGCTTTTGCCTTCAGAGGGTGGCTGTGTCGTCTCACTGCCCTCACATTGATTGTGTGAATTCACAACGGTTTCATTTGGTGGCGGCTTATCTTGTTCTTCACTGCTTTTGGGTGGCTCAGTTTCTCCAGTTGGATTCGCCTGCAAAGCTGGTTTGGTTGGTTGCTGGGCTGCCCGTTCATGACACTGATCATCATCAGTGCCCCTCTTTTCTTTTGAGCGTGTACCTTGTTCTCTCTTGAGCAAACTCGCGTCATTTTCCTGAGAATCAAAAAGGTTTCTGATTTTTCCCGGTATTAGAGGAGTAATATATTTTTGCCAAAAGCCCGGTGAATTGTTCTCTGTAGCTCTAGCCATAGATAATAATATTAGAGTAGAGTTAGAGTTAGGGTTAGTTTCATACTATTATGGTCTACCTAGCTCGATAGATAGCGATAGCATAGATATTAGAGTAAATACTATTAAATAGCGATAGCGCGCCCTCGAGTGGGACCCACTAAAAGCCGGGTCCGGAGCCGGATCCGGGTCCGGATATGGAAGCTAAAAGCCGGGTCCGGGTCCGGATATGTCTGGAGCTGGGCCCGTTTCGGGCATTGTTATCTTGGATCATTCTCGAGGATAATCTTGTGTATACTTTTCACACTCTCAGACTCTGTATATATTACTGTTCCTCTGCATTTAAAGTCCATTGTAGATCTATTATTAGTTTTATTTATTATTAGCCAGAAAAAAAAGGAAAGAATCTGAAGGCCACAGTGCAGTGACATCATACTGAAAACTATGACTGCCGAATCAGTTATACATACATCAATTACAAATTAAAATTTAGAATGATAGATTGAGAGAATTGGATATACAAATTTATACATTCAAATTTATATTTAACGAGTTCAATTTGTACAAAACAATTATTATTATTA